TAGCTGTTGCTGCGGAAGTACGCATCCCAGGACTGAAATTAAGAGGGATTTTAATTTTAATATCATTATATATAATTAATATATAGTTTTAGAAAATATAAGGACAACGTTTTATACGATCCGCCTTACAAACATGTAAAGAAGAGATATATAATGTGGATTCAAGTTTCTTTTAGGAAGACAGAAGTGGAAATATTAAATGTTCACTAAAATGCATTTTTCATTTGGTAATAAATGCTTGATTTTTAAGACCCCAAATCTTAAATCATTTTAAATAAAGGATTTTACTGACTTTTTATGATAAATAAATAAATGTATCCGCATCAAAAACAAACATAAATAACCGAAAAAATACTCTCTTTTAGAAACTGGTTGTAAGTCGACTCATAACCGGAATTATCAATCGATTTTTGGCGGATCATATCCCTTTTTTAACAGATATACTTACGGTGTGCACGGAAGTGGGATCCCGCAGCCAGGCGTTGTACATCTCCTCCACATAGGAGGCGGTGCTGCCGTTGGCAAAAGGTTCGGCAGCCGCGGAGTTGTAGGTGCGCACAGCGGCCGCTGCAGTTACCTTGGCCATCTGAAAGATTATATTATTATTTCGATTATTTTTAAGATCTCCATTGACTAGACTCACCTGCTGACTGCTGCTGCTCTTGAGCAGCCATGTGGCGAAGTTCTTGTGTGCCATCGGCGACAAGGCCAGGCTGAAGGCTGTGTGGGCTCTATGCATTTTGTAGCTTTACAAAATAGAACTGAAACGAAAGGCGAGAGACAATCTTTAGTGGGGATCTTATCAGGGGACTATTATATCACTTGCGACTGATTAATCGATGGTGCTTTTGTTGACAAACAAGTCACCACCCCCTAAACACCGAACCCCTGACCCTCGGCTGCTGTAAGTGCGATAAGATAGCCTAGAAGTTTTTACGTCATGGTCATGTTCTATGTTTTTTAACTGTGTCACCGATCAAAACTTGTTGCCAGGCGGTTAACGGGCTAGTTATGAAATTCCCGCACGAAACAAGTTCACAGAACAGGGGGAGTTGGGGGACTTTATCGAGTGGAATTTACATACGTCTGAAGCCGGACTAGACTGCTGGGAAAGCACACGTGATGCGGTACGCCTGCTGATTCCGCCGATGACGTCAAACTAACGTGGGCTGGTTTCGACCGTCCGCTCGTCTTTTTGATAATCAGCCAAGAAATGGCGGAGATACTTTGGCCCCCAAATATAATGGTGAAATGGGTTTTATATGCAGGAAAAGAGAGAGGAGGAGAAGCAGCTGCTTTTTGCGCAGTTTATTCGTTTCCCAACTTTTAATCAGTTGTGAATATTTGCCCCGGGCCTTTTGTTTGCCATCTCCGAATCATTTCTTGGCCGAAACGAGTTTGCCCAGATAAGCGTTAAAACGTCAAGTGTGAATGTCCCGGGGTCGGAGTAATAAATTCCTGCGGTTTAAATTCCGTGACTAAACGCAGAAGCCTCTAGACGCCTGTAGATTGATAAGATGGCTGGTAAACCGGCCTCCAATCCCGATCATGCCACGCCAGCACTTCCAGAATTTGTCAAATTATTAATCAAATTATTAGCGATAGGGCCGCGCGTGCGGATGTCGTAATTGGATCCCTATCTAAAGTCGTGCAAAAAAAAATATATACAAATTGAAATTCGGAATGGGAACCCAAAGGGGCAAGGAAGGCGTGGCCAGGTCACATGTCTTATCGACGAACGCATGCTGCCCAGACGATCCGAATCAAATGATTACAAAACGCTGGCCCCCAGACATGAGAAAAAAGGAAAGAAAGACAACAATTGGAACGGCTAACCGGTTTGGAGCGGTCAAAGTTAAGTATTTGAAAGTGCAGCACTCGGGGTTTTCAATTTTGTAATAGTTACAGTTACAGATGCATTTACAGCCCCTTTGAGGCAATAATTCAATTTAGTTTCTTTCAGTGTTTATCATCTGTTTGCTTGTTTAGCGCTGGCGCTTTTCGTCTACTGCTTTCCCTGCAATTATATTCTGCTCGACGTCGTCGCCGATGTTACGAAAACACATTACATAAGTGCAAAAAACAGAGACTCGCGTGAGAGCAGCCAGATATTAGAATGTAGAATGCCCAGATGGAGCTAATTAGTGTGAAATGGCTCGCTCGGTGAGTCTGCAGTTCCACAATTCGTAGCATGACTGGAAAAATCCATTTAATTTTGATGTTTTAGGGGGGGATGGCCATCGAAAATCCGACTCTATATATACACTGCACTGCGGCGGAATAAAAAACCGTATAATATATGCGGTGCGACTGCTCCAAAAACCAACCGAATATATGTACTCGTCGTACTCGTATCCGTATCTCGCAGATACGCGGCAAACGTTTGTTCGTGCTGAGTGCTGCGCGTCGACTGAAGCGAAAATACAAAAGCGACCGCCTTCGAGAGTGAAATACAAAATTTAGAAATCGAATTTTTGCTCTTCACCAAGCGACGGACCGCCGAGCGGGGTGAAAAATTGGAAGGAAAACACAGAGTGTGTGATAAAAAAGAAACACACACTCAAAACGGGCACATGACAACTCGGCGTTGTATCTTTATCTTCTGGCAAAAGGGGGTTTGGTCTTCGATCGCCGATCGGCGGACCTGATAACAGCCAGGTACATAATGCATATATCGGCCGTACTTCCTCCGCTTATCTAACCACCCCGCCTCCTGTATTTTCCCCATCGCCTGCGTATTTATAGCCCGAATTTGTTTACAACAATCCCAAAGTCCGATCGTCAGCCGGCTGAGTGTTTGAAAAAATGCCGCCCACACAGTCGTCAAAAAGAGAAAGAGGAGGTGGAATTAGAGAGTGAAAGAGGTAAGGTATGCATACAGAAAAATAATATCCAAAATACAACAATACAGCTTGTTTATCGCATAACACCGAGGGCAGAATGAGAGCTTCAAAAGAAATATACATAAATATTTTTATAATTTATTATTTAAATTATTATAGGTCATTACTAAAAATTCTACTAAATAATATTATTTTATTATATGCAGTATAACTTTATTTCTCGCTGTGCATCTAATAGGTCAGGCCAAGTGGAAGTGAATATGTGCGTGTGTATCGATTACTTTTCCGCTAATCAATAAAGTTTCAAGTTCACAAACGAGTCACGTTAACTTAACAATTTACCTCGAGAGCGGGTGCGAAAAAACGAACAGTTGAAGAGCACCGAACCTTTAAACACTCTTAAAGGTTAATAGTGAGATTATACTCAGGAGCACACAAATATCATGGAAAACTTGAAATGGTTCGTGGAAATTTCACAAAGTTTAATTCCTGTGTTATTAAAAATGAATACAAGATTTTTCTGTGGAAAAATTTATCTGATAACGAGTTAAGGAAATTACTATTAATAGATCCACAAAATAATAAAAACTCTTTTCAGCTTATGCTAAACACGGAAATGCCTTGTGGCGGTAAGGAAAGGACTGTTTTATTATTATTTCCATTGGGATTATTCTTCTAGGACTAATTTTGTAATTCCCAATTGAAAATTATTAATCTTTCCGAAAGGTAAAAGAATAGGTTTTTTGGAAGTAAACTTCTCTTTTTATGTGACAATACTTGTAATAAATTACGATAACATAATAAGGAAAATTAAATGTGGTTTGACTTTCTAATAATAGCCAAGTGACCTTTTAAATAACCCACAAGTTATGATGCCCCATAAAAGGGTATAAGAAGGTAAATAAGGAGCAATCAATAAGGTTGGAAGCCTTGCTTAGCGGGTCCAAAAACCTGCCTGCAACTGCATTCCATTGAAAACCCTAGACGAGCCCCCAGAAAGAAGAAGAGAGGGCCAATAGCATGAGGTAATTGAAGAGTGTCCAAAGGAGGGGGGTGGGGGAGGGGAATAGTACTACTACGGGGGTTACTATTCCCGATCTGCCGCCTTTGCAGCTGGCTTATGATAGGTTGTGGCGGATGTGCCACTTCGGTCTGCAGCTAAATCTAGTTGTGCTTCCCCAGACAATGCGGCCGCTCGCTTTCTTTGCGTTTTTATCTTTTATTTTTTGATTGATGATTCATTTGGCGGTCGGAGAAAAAGCACACGCGGCACTCGCTCAATTGCGTCATCAATGCGCCACCAAGTTAATTTTACAAAATCACATGTGACGTCGCCGCTTGTTTTGCATTGCGAAATTTCACTTTTCTTTTGCGGGGCAACCGGCGCAAGCGCTTTTCCGCCAAAGAGCCGCCCACCTGCACTTTTCATTATATGCATTATATAAGAACAGTCCTTGAGCTTATCTCGGGGGAAAACCACTGAAAAATTCCCATTTAAAGCCCGCATCCTGCACTTTTCCGAAAGGAGAACACGCGGCTGGGGCATATTGATCGCAGAAACGCTGGTGGTAATTCCTGGAATTCCACATGATTGAAAAGCGGACCTCGAAAGTGGGCCAAGAGAAAAGCACGCGAAATACGGGTTTTCCGGAAGTGGCAGTATTAGCACTATGTCGCCCATCACCCAGAGCATTTTTACGAATTTTACCGCACTTAATTTGCTTAAAACTAGTTAAAAGTTGAAATATTTACGTTTTTACAGCCGAAAACTTTATGCGTTAGTGGTGGGTCGAATATATCGATATTAAATCGTTTGTATGCTTTTCAGAAGACTTTTATCGTTTTCATGGCATTGGTAAAACTTATCTACATGACAAATGTGACAGAAGATGGCGCCACTTCCGCAAAATCCATGTAAAATATATGTAGAAATTTTTCAAAAATTTGAAATGTTTTTCGTTTTATTCGTTTTGGGAATCTAAATCTGTGAATAAGAAAGTAGCAATAAGACTGCTAATCGTGCCCAAATAAATGCATGTATGAAAGTTTGAATAATCGACTATTTAGGACTGGAACATACTATCATTTTGAAAATTACAAGTGTATTACCTTTGTTAAATCAAGGGGAAAGCCTATTCCAACCACCCATTCATCATAACCGATACAAACTGGAATTCAACTTGCACTAAACATTTATTCGCGAAGCACACTAGACACACTGAGTAACTAATTAATATCTGCTGTATTGATCCAGACAGTAGCCGGTAATTTGGTCGGATATGCAGTCGAAGACATCAAAAGCCAGATCGCAGCTTTCACCTTTCTTGGGCAGCTCCTTGCGGTTCACTTCGTACCGGGCGGTCATTGTCCGGAGGCAGAGGTTCACGGACCGCAGCGTGGCCATGAAGAACCCGTGCTCGTGGACGCCCTCGGAGTAAAAGTGGACCAGTCCGTCCAGGGTGGGCCAACCCTTCTGGTCGATGGCGTTATTCTTGGCGTATACGCAATGCAGCAGGCACTGAAAATGTAAAGAAGTTACTTGTAAAGTCAAATTGTATTTAAAACCGGATTAAAATATTTGAAAATTTAATGCACCGTAAAAAAAGGTTAAAAAATGAAATTTCTTAATATTTTAATAGTTTATTATATATGCTCAATATTTAAAATACATTTTTTTTAACGGTTAAAAAACCCATTTAAAAGGGAATAAAATATTCATTATTATTATTAATCATATATTTCAGATGATATTTTCAATTATAAAGATAAATTGTCACAAAAATTTGTGATGTGTTAAGGTGAATTATTCGAAAATACTTATAAAAACCATAATCAAACTTAAGGCTTGGTACTCAACCCAACAAAAAGTCGTCCAAATCAAAAAACTTCGTATGAAAAACAACGTCAAAAAATTTTGTTTCATATGAAGTTTTTGTTTTGGACGACTTTTTGTTGAGTACTAGCCCTAACTTGGAACACAGACTGCTATTTTTCTTTCTGTGTAGGAAGTAGAGGGCAATATGCACATTCAATTTGCTGATGCATAAAGCCAGCTAATGTGTATTAAGTGCCGCCATAAAGTGCGCTTTTCAGCCATCAAATTCAGCATTGCTGGAGGTGTGCGAAAAATCTCCGCCGGAGGCGTGTGATTTTGAATGCATCTGAAAATGCATTCGCATCTGCGGCAGCGCTTTTCTTTCGATTGTCTAATAACCCTGACTTTAGGCTTTGCTGGCTGAGCTAAAGTGGGGGTTTTGCCAATTGTTTCTTGGGCTGCCATTGAACTTAATTGAGCGTCGCTTTTGCATTTCATTAACACGAGAAGAAAAGCGATCTACAAGTCTGACTAGAATATAACTATATACTTACTCCCGCAATGCGTTTGTCTTCCAGAGGCACCAAAGTGGGATGGTAAATGCCCGAACTGGCCACATCCAGACGTCGGATGTTCTTCATAAGTCGGGCAATATGGCGATGTGGTTCGGGCTCATCGTAGACTATATACTCGTACTGACTGATGTTGGGGGGCTGATCGATGGAGGAAGAGCCTCCTGGGACAGATGGCCAGATAAAGTCGATGGAGTCATCGTTGGGATCAACGGGCGGTTGTTTGTGGGACACCTGCTCTTTGAGTATCTCATAGGCCTCTATTTTGGGAAAATCTTTTAATATTTAATAACCGATCCTAACTGATTTTCAGGACCCACCATTAACCAACTTATTGCGCACCTCATCCTGGCACTCGTTTATCACCGACTCCACTTTCCTCGCAGTTCTGGGTGGATTCAGGCACTTGGCCTTCTTCGTCTCGAAGCGAATTAGATATTCCACCGCCTCGATCGATGCGATAACCACACTCGAGATATATAACAGTTGTGTAATCCTCATGACTGCGATTAATTGGCCAAACCGAACCGAACTGAACGCCTGGGCTGCTGTCAAATGAATGTCCCCCGAAGAAGTGGCCGCGATGAAAACGAAAGCATTTTCACTTTTACCCAGCCAACCTGGCAGGATGGCCCACACTTATGAATTTCCAGTTTTTCCATGTTTTGCTCTATGGGTATGTGGTTCAATGGCAAGCGGTAAACAACTGCCACAACTGGTTGCACATTTCCCATGCGTGCCGAGCAGTCCGTTAGAAACTTGTCCTTAAAGCCCCGCGACCACATGCCTTTGAACATGGTCATTGGCAGCAGCTATATATCATAGCTCTCCGATCGCATTAGGTTTCGTTCCATTGTCTCTGCGGTTGCGATTCAGAACGCACTCGCTCCGATTGAGCGAACAATTAACCGATGGGTGGGCCTCAGGAAAACTTCCGCCTTCTGCCCAATTTGCATTTATAGCCAAAAAAACAGGGAAAATATAAAACCACCATTAAGATTATCAAAGGCGGTAGTGGATATGGGCTGGACTGGACCCATAAACCATAAACCATAAGCCGAATCAGAGGCAGCCAAGCGGAGGGCCTGACATCCCCAAGAGCCCAGAGTCTAGAACCCAGAACAATGGCCAATAACTGTACTTGGAAGGGGCCATCTGAGTAGCTAATTACGCTTCATTAAAATGCCCAAGATCCTAGGCGGAAATTGTCATAAGGTTCTCTTCCAGCCGTCGGGTAATTGCCTTTAATTGCATAGCTGGCCGAAAATTGCTAAGACACTGACCTAGACTCGCTCTGGATCGAATTGGTAATAAGCCGAGTCCGGCTAACGGGGCAATGGAAATGGGAAAATTGAAAATTCAATACCCCAGCGCTGAAGTTCAATGTTCAGTGATTCTTAGAGAGAGAAAGATTTATAGAGCTGGAGGGGGGAAATTGTCAACAGGAAGCTGAGCTCTCCAGGTTGCAAACTTCGGGGAACAAGAACAACGTGAGCTAATTGACAGACAGCTACACAGGCACGATTTTCCATTTTCCGCCTGCCATTTTCCCCGGTTCTCCGTCTTCCTTCCCCTTTTTTTTTATCTGGAGAACAAGGAGCTACAAAATAAACAGCACAGGAGTGCAGCTGCAACAACACTTGCGTGTCCATCATTAGAACAAATTCTCTCACCTGAGGTAAACCCGACCCCCTCGGTAGCCCACCTTCCGCTTTTCTTGTAACGCAATTTGCACACAAATGCTGCTGTTTCATCTTCGTGGCTTTGGCTCTTTTCGGTGGGTGGTCAGATGAGACAAGTGGCGGCAGCACCACTGCCAACCACACGAACCGCTCGCTGAATCGCCTGAGAATCGTATTTAAATACGAAGGTCTAACGCTGGATCGCATCAGTCGTCGTCGTCGCGTTGTTCTAGCCGCTAGCTCCTACTAAAGTCCAAAGACTATAGACCAAGTCGGGATCTCATCACAGTTCGGTTTTGTGGTTCAATCGGTTCGGTTGGGGGAATTCAAATTTATTCTGTGACTGTAACTGCAACAGGATGCTCGTTTGAAGCCCCTGAGATCTCTGTACTGGATTAAAACAAATGCGATTTGAAGATGCTGCACCTGCATCGGCACTTGAATTTCCTTTGGTTCCTCTGCGCACTCTTGGGATTCTTTGCGGACCCTGCAAGAGCGGAAATCGAGTATAATACCATCAACGAGGATGGATCTTTTCAGTTTCGGTACAACGATGTGTGACAAGTTATTTGTGAAGTTACAAAAGGACTGAGGCAAAAGTGACATTACAATTTATATAACTAATATTCAATTTGGTCCTTAAGTTAAGGGTCGAACCATTACAATAACCGTTTATTATTTTTGCTATAATGAACAGAAGTGATTTGTGCATTTAATTGAAACTTTTACGTTTTAAAGAGAATTTAAAATAGTTAAAAAAATGATTGTTTGTAAAAGTATATTTTCTTATATTTTGACAAAACAAATTATGTTTTTCCTTATACTTCCCAATTTCAGAAAACCCTTTTTTAGATGAATATAAAATTTATAAATATAAAAGAACCTTTTCTTTAAAAAAAATTTGAGCTAAAACTCTTTCTCCGTTTTTAATAAAATAGTATAATATTTGAAAGAACCTGTATATCAAATGATATTCCTTAAAATAACAGCAATCAGCGAATTATGAAAATTCAGCTTTATATTTTTGTAATTCACCTCTCAACCTTTACTTTAAAAAGGAATAGCGATCCGTAAAAAGGGAACATCTCAATTACAGTATTTTAGCAGCCATGGGCCATAAATGTAACAAATCATCTAATCGGTCATTTGAGGTTTGCTACCTTACCATCACACTCGAACAAATTTGAGATTTTTAGCACCTCTTTAACGCCTTTTCGTTTTGCAACCACAACAATAACACGCTTCCGACCATCTTTCCCTCTCCAATTCACACGCATGGGGCAACGCAATTACTTGTGTTTCGATGGAAACTCCACTGCTACCTCTGCCACCACTGGATAATGGATACTGAATGCTACTGCTACCGATCGGCCAAAAGACATGCAAATGATGACATTGGCGGCTACTATCACAGCGCCTCGGGCACTCCGGACAACACGGTGCGAGGTCGCTACGGTTCGCGGAGTCCGGCGAGCGGCCAGATCGAGGAGACCGTCTACACAGCCGGACCACGTGGGTGAGTAAACGAAGACGCCCAAGCCGAGAGGGTAAAGTGCGGTACTGCACTGAGAGAAAATATTCCATAGGTTGGGAATCTTCAAAAGATTCGTGAAGGAGAAAAAAAGGGAGACAGATACTATACACTTACGAATCAAAACCTTTCTCATAAACTATTTCATATTATAATTTTGTATATCATTTTAAAGTATAATTTTATATTCGTATAAACACTTTAAATTTATGATTTAGCATTAAAATTACCTTGGTTCTTTATTTTTTTGTAGTAACTAAATTTTTTGTGATCACTGAATAATTTAGTTAATTTCTGAAAATGTTGATAACAATCATCTTTATTTATTCAACAAAATATAGATTTGAGGAATTTTAAGGGTAGGTTTCTATAAACTTCCTTAAAAGTGATCTTAAAATATAGTAAATTAGATTAATAGGTTTTAATTTAAGAAAATGTTAAAAAAAAATGTAATAGAAAAAAAATAATCCTGTTAATGCAATATGCATTTCAAAATTATTTTCAGTTTAAAAGTTAATTAAGTTGTAAATAGGAAATAGTTTCCTATATCCAGGTGTATGTTTGGCTGAATGTAAAAGGAAATTTGTAAAATCAAGGTCCCATACTAAGTGACTCTTTTCCGAGTGTACTAACGTTGGAGGAAGTGGCAGCACAAAGTGAGTTATCTCCCCCTCCCTGTCAAAGTTGAGCTCATATATCAGCGGTTGGCGGCAGGCGGCGGCCACTGAAGCGAATCCCCCGAAGCCACCGAAGCCAACGGAGTTCCAAGTTGGAGCCGTTCTAACACATTGGATTGCTTTTTTTCGTGGCGTTGCCTAAACGTTTTTCCATTACCGCTTCGGCTACTGTTGTTTTTTGCAATCTCCGGTAAATTGGGGGAAACAAAAAGCTGTTAACAAATTGACTGGCCTGGGAGTTCCGAGCAAAAACTGTAGTTATAGTGGATTGCAGATGCTCAGCGATAGCGATGATTCTGAATGGGATCGTTCCCTGAGATGTGGGGTAATCAAAGTAACGACGTGCCGGGCTCAGATGGGATCTATAATGCGCTTCCGCTGGAAGGGGTTTACCCAATCCCCCAGTCATTGTGATAGGCAGCTAATTAATCTCTTCCCAATTTCCCACACAGATTTCGCGCGAACGGACCGAAGATCCATCGCAAAATGGACCTGGCCCAGTATCCGGTACTGCCGCGCGGAAGTCCCGACGATCCGCTGGCCGATCCCTTCGATGATCCCTCATACAGCTTTAGCTATCGCACTCCGGATCAATCGCGCAGCGAGGAGAATGATTCGGGCAACAGGATAAGGGGTGAGTTTTTTATAGGATGTATCAGGGTTCGGAAAATAACACACACTGTAAAAACTTGTGCTCTTAACACTAAAGTCAAAGTGTTAAGTTCAAAAAGAAGTTATTGACTTATGTGTAACAAATTGTATCTTGCTTATGTTAGAAACATAAATAACATACACATGTCATTTGTGTTATTTACACGACGTGTTTTTTACAAAGCGGGTTTTTCACACAACGAGTTTTTGACATAAAAGTGTCAGAATTGTAAGTTGAACTGAAAAATGTACAGTTTTCTAGAGTATAAGAATTCCTTTTCATTTTTCCTTCGACTCGTTAATAATTTAATTTTCATTTGTGTTAAAAATACAGTGTGTAAAAAACACAAGTGATTTTTGTGTGTGTTAGAAATTAATTTTCACATTTAAACACTTTTGTATTTGACACACATGTCATCAATTTTACTCACACTGTAAAGTACAATTTTTCATGTTTCTAACATGTGTGTCAATTTCCGAACCCTGGTTTTTATCCCAAGGTTTTAAAATAATTCCTTCCAATCCCGTTTCAGGACTTTACTCCTACCTGGACGACGTGGGCGAGCGGCACAGTGTTCGCTATGCAGCTGGAGCCGGAACCGGTTTCGAGATCTCCAATGCCGTGCCGGACAGTCCGTCCACGGTGGCCTACTCCAGTCCGCTGTACAAGTCGCATCCCAAGACGCGCGGCAAGATGGCGGTGCAAAGGGGTCCGGCGGGTAGCTACAAGCTGATTGCATCCGGTCCGGATCACCGGCGGGCAGAGAGTCGAGCTCCGGATGGCCTGGTGCGCGGCACCTACTCCTTCCTCGACGACAAGGGTGTGCAGAGGACAGTGGAGTATATAGCAGGGGCGGGAATTGGCTACAGGGTGGTGCAAAACCGCATAGGTCCCGGTACCCACATCAATCCCTCGGTGGCTGATTTCCGTCTAGCGGATCCTGACTTCCGACTGGCTAATGATTTTGGCAGGGGTGCAGGCGGCGGTTTGGGTCCAAAGGCAGGAGGAGGGGGAGTGGGTGGATCAGGTGGCTCAGGTGGCTCGAGTGGTTCAGGAGGAGCATCGGGATCTGCAGGATCAGGTGGTGCAGGTAGGGGTCGCACCTCTAGCAGACCCGGTGGCAAGGAATATCTGAAGCCAGCTGATAGGAATCAAGGGGAAGGAGATGCTACAGATGATGATATCGGATCCGCAGATGATAACCAAGGGGATGACGGCGGATTGAGCACCAGTTCCTCTGGTTCCACCAGTTTCAATGGCAAAGAAGATCGCCGGGGATTCCCAGCGGGAAGTTCCCAAAGGGGCAGCACTAGATACGATGGAGGAGGGGGTACTTCGCAGAGAGGTGGAGCACAAGGTGGTGGTTCCACAAGGACCAATGCCAGTGGATCCAGAAACAGGAACCGATTCGGAGGAAGTGCCTCCGCTGAGAGGGGAGGAGGAGGAGGAGGAGGAACAAGGGGAGAAGTAGCAGGCAGTCGTCGTGGAGGAGGCGGCTCCTCCTCCTCCTCCTCCGCCGAAGGCGACTCTGGCCTGGGCTACCTGCCGCCCACAGGTGGATCGGGCACTAGTGCCATCAGCGGACCCGGGGACAATTACCACCTCAACGACGACGACGTTGGAAGTTCATTGCCTCCCTTGGTCACCGCCAACCATCGCATCCTGGAGATCGATCGGGACAGGGAGTGGGTTCAGAGGCATCGCGATTCCACGGTGATCAAGAACGTGGGTAAGTGGTATGTGGGTCTGCCGCCGGGCCAAAGTGTTCGTGCCCATGTCCAGAACATCGATATAGTGCCCCTGGGCGGAAGGATAGGTCTCTCGCCATCGGAGGCACTGCGTCAGGATGAGATCGCCGAGCTGAATGCCTCCAGGGAACACTGATCCTCCGCTGGAGCCCCTAGTTCGTAGTGCTTAGCTAGGTTAAGTAACCCACAACTGGGTTGACTCCACATGGAAACTGTAACAGTATTTAAAGCGGAATACATTTTATGTCTCTGTATCTGTATCTTAAAAGTTATTTGATATCCGTGGTGTCTTCGATAGGCAGGTTAATCTGCACATTGCGGTTTCCCTGGATCTACATAAAACCCCATGACTTTGCCTACCCCAAGTTTAGTTGGTTTCGAGACCTAAAACGAGATGCTGCTGCTTTGGATTGGCTTGCTGGGAGTTTCCAGTGTTCGAGGAGCCCAGGTGTATATGCACTTCAATGGGCAGGGTTACTCCTACAACACGGATGGCGATAGACTGGATAGAAGTGTGATGACCCCTAGTTATGGATCATCATCCTTGGACTCCTTTGGTCCTTTGCAGTTTGTGCAGCAGGCTTTGAGAAGCAGGATGCAGCCTCTTCCCAGGATTTCCTATAATAACCAGGATAACCTGGCGTTGAGTAGAGGTTACCAAACACCCTTTCAACCCCTGCAGAGCGGACCAAACTTCCATTTCAGCACTGACCAGATGTCGCATGCCCAGCACACCGATGAGTCGGGAAACGTATTGGGCAAGTACTCCTACTACGATGAGGCTGGCTACCACGAGCTGAGCTACAAGGCGGGCGCCGGCATCGGATTCGTGGTCATGGGTGGTAATTTGGCCAAGGCCACCGCCTCTGCCGCCTCGGAACCACCGAACCACTCGGAAATCGAAATCGGAAACGGAATCCAAACAAATGCCTTGACAAGCCTGCAAGAGTTGCATAAATATCGTGGCTACACGTAAATAAACAAATTAGCTGAACTACTTAACGCCACTCGTTCTACTTGGGTGTTTTTTGTTATTTAGTGGAACTATTCGGAGATCTGACAGTGTCGACTGTCATGTCTGACATCTACGTGATCGGGGAACTCAACTGCAGGCAGCTTAAGTCAAAGAATGAATGATTATGGGTGTTATTTTAAAGGTTAAAGAAGGAAAGGAACTGGGTAAAGACTGGATAATGCAGAATACTAGGAAGGAGCTTTTGAAAGTCAATCTTAACTTGATAGAACAAATTCTTTATAAATAAAGTTTGCTTGGTCCATTTCTGTGAGTTACATTTTGGTCAAATGATTTCCAAAAAGTTATTGGGTTATTGGTATTTTGAGCCCCATTTAGAGATTACAAGATTATTAATAAAATACCGTTAATGGAATTCAAATGTATTAATTATACGATTTTATAAAATAAGGCTATAAGCATAGCCCATCAATCTGGTAATATAAAAACATTAACTAGTAAAGTGCCTCAACATTATTTCATATAGATAAAAATAGATAAAGGTAAACATTGTCAGTTTGTGATCGTAAATGATTGTAAGAGCTTTAATTGCCTGTGGCGCGTGCTTTGGCTCGAGTCAGCCTATACGATTTATGCATTTTATAAACCCTAATTGATTATTCGCTCATAAACTCGGTTATTCGGCCGGACAAAGTCATTTTACAAATGGCCAGTGCATCCCAAAGCCAAATTGAGTCACCTCTGGCTTTTATTTAGTTTTGTTTGGGTAATTTCTTGTCGGAAAGCGACCAAAATAATACAGCATTTGAAATGTTCGACGCGTGCGCGCACTTGCCAAATAATTTGAATCGAACGGAAAGCCTTGGCGACCACATCGTGGCCTAAATAAAATATATTTCGGGCCAGGCAGGCAAACCGAAGAAAAGCCCAAAAACCATAATAATAATATGCATATTTGCCAAAACAAAAAAATTATTACAGAGGCCAGACCAAACGAAAGTTTCACTGTCACAATTTAAACTTCAAAGTCGAGAGATTTAAGCGGTTAATTTCCCTGAAACAAGTTCCTACGCACTCCGAAACTTTCTTCTTCGGCGAATGCACTAAAAGAATGTACAGAAGAGCACTAAAACTGAAACGCTTGCCACTGACATAGATTCTATTAGGGTTTGTTTCACGTTCTCAGCGGCGAAATCAATGCTCGAAATCACCTGGGAAGCAGAAGCAGCCGAGGTGCATAATTGGGTTAGCCTAGCAGCAAAAGAACGGCCTGCATTGGAACAGAACCACAAATTACTGGGGCTCCGGCTCTCCCAGGTGCCAGTTAGCTGTTTCTTTTTATTATACCACAAACCCTCTCCCCCTTCTTGCTATAAACAACGGTTTGGGCTGGGACTCTCCTCCTCGTCGAAGGTCAGACTTAATTGGCCCTAGTCTATAAGCAACCACATCCCACTAGCAGTCCCGTTCGCCAGCATTTATAAATAGGCCCCAAGGTCTCTGGGTCTTGGGTCCACAAACTCCTCGCTTCGATTTATCGCCTTTTGATTGCTGCATTCCAATTGCGGATTGGAGCAAGTGGTGCGTGTGGCGCATTCGTTTACAACGTGTTGCTGCTAATTTCGTATGCTCCCTCCGGCGCTGCACATTCGGAACCATAAATCTTGTGGCAATTTTATTGATGCCTGCGTGTGCCACAAAGGTCGAGCCCCGAGTAATCAAGAAATATGCATTATTATTGCCTGCACTTCGGGAATCAGTAGCTGGGGCCTGAAAATCAATAAAAGAGCGGAGTTAATCGGGAAATTGATGGTTCTGGGGCTAATAAAGACTTTGGTCAGCGAGCGAAACAAATGACTTAAGGCACGAACTCGAAATGGAAATCAATTTGCCTGATCTCAGACATTTGTAATGTATGATTAAGCTTCAGAAATGGCCCGAGGCTTTAAATCCTGACATCTGTTGATACCCGAGAAGTGTGTGAAGTCTTCACGCAGATTGTCGAATTGAAAAAAAAAGAACACAATGACTGAAACTTTCTAACGAGTTCTAGGCAAACATTTTAATTGAATTGCCCGACAATCGAGCGAACCGATTCGTTCTTAAGTCCCTTGCCATTTTGGCTTATGTCATGTTTTTTGGGGCCTGTTCCGAGCTGATTACCTCTCCACTTCCCACACGCATTTCTTCTCGGCTGCTCGGCTCACTCCACTTGTAATGGCCAGTCACACTCAATCAAGCCAATAAACGGCCAATTAATCAAAGTCAGCGAAGGGGTATTCGCTTTTAGATTCTAGCTAGCTGCTAGGTGCGAAACAGAAGCCCCTGTCAGCACATCCAACATGTTTTCATGCGAAATATGCGAAAAGTTAGGCAAGCTATTTGTGAAGAGGAGGCTAGCCGACGAAATCCTAGAGTTGGAAGCCTGAATATCAATTGGAGATGGATAGTTGGATAGCTGGATAGTTGGTTACCCCTGGAGCTGGTAACCAAAATCCCACAGATCCACGCCCCCAGATAAAAGCCAGGCCAAGGCGCTCGACTACGTGCTTAACTCTCTGTTTTCTCTTTGGCTTTTTCACTCTGTCTCTCTTCTGCCAAAAGCCCAGTTCTCTTACACCTGATCGGGCCCTGTTTTCTTGGCCATTTCTTTCGTCGCGTCGTTTGCATCGCTAATGGAAATGTTATAAACAGAGGCGCTGGGCCCGGCCAGCACTCAGTTCATCTTCAGTCGTCGTCTGGCTCGCTGGCTTTTGGCTCTTGGTTCTTGGTAGGATCCTCCTTTCCAGTCCCTATTTATAGTGCGTGATTAAAAAAAAGACAAAAGAACTCGTAGCAGAAAACAATCGTAAATTGAAAGCTCAACAGGATTGGCTTTTAGTGCAACCGTGTGTGTGATTTGCCGCGTGATAACCCACAGTGCCACTCATCCCGTTTCTCGTTTGCAGTTCAAGGATATACAGTCGAGGCGACGCCAAGAATTCAGTTAAATACCAGAAGCTATTCACCAGAAATTGGCTTTAAAATGCGCTTCCTTGCTGTAAGTAAAACCAAGCCAAAAAAAGAAATTCAATTTTCTTGGGAATAAGAATGAGAAACGAAACTAGTTTGTACCTGACCGCAATTAATCATTTATTACTCGGTGCCGCCGTTGAACCCATTAACTCGTCAACTGGCCCAAGTTCGTGCCTTAAGTCTTTCGTTTCTTTCACTTCTGAATTGAAATGAACTTTCACTAAGCGACATTTTTGGTTCTTGCCTCGATTCTTGGCCTCTTCTGGCCGCGGAAATTAGCCTTAATTATGCTCTGTGCCATATGCAAATATGATTAAGTCTTTTTTTGGCATTATAATAATCAGAAATCAATTTGAATACTAAGAACTCTATTAGGAATTTTATTTAATAATGGAAAAGCTTAAAAGCTGTGCCAGTTATTGTTTCCCTTTGTGGAGATACAGTTTCATTGAATAGATTTAATCTCCTTCGAAAAGTGAAAAACTTTACAACCGAACGTGACAATATTCTAGCCCCACCCCAGTTTAAAAAGTGAGAATGATTCATTATTCGTATTATTCCTTGCATTATTCATATTGCCATTAAGACAAGCACGCCCTTAAAAGTCCAAAAGCGTTGTCAGCGCCTGTTTATAAGGAACAATACCATTCAATTATAGCCATAACCAATACGAACACTTACAATGAAAAGCCCAAAAATTAATTATGACTCGAGGAACATAAAATTAATATGCCACAAACGTAAGAAAATCATGCGTGGGCTAACAAATGGTAATAAAAGTCTTCTTTCTCCCGGCCCACAACCAAACTACCAAACAATCGAGACCATTTGTGTGGGGTTCTTGAGCTATAAGCTATAAGTGCATTGGTTTGTTTTCGATTCTTCGATCGTCTTGATAGTGGCTCATAAATTAATCAATTTATTGGAGTATTGACAGGTTAACCAAACAACCCATCCCTGAAGTCCATCAATCTCAGCTCAATTAGCTCCATCGAAATGTCTCTGGAATATCATTTAAGACCCAGAGACACCTGATATGGATAAAAGAACACTTTTACATCTTGTTTGAGAACATAAAATGCTGCGCTTAAACTTTGCATTCGAGCCATTAACCCAGTTTATTTTTGGACAAGACACACCCGATACGGGGTTTCGTTATTTCGGCGGTATAAGGGCAATATAATAAATAAGGCAATAAGTAGCCACAAAAGAAAGCAGACAGAAATACATCTTGCGATGCAGGAGATCTTGCAAATCAGTGACAACCGACCAGGTTCGACAGCCTCTTGGCCAGAATCACATTATTTCTCTCGAGTTACGCTTTGGCCCGAAATCGTAACAGACGCCTAGAGGTTCAGGTCAATGACACAACACGAGCCCCGACTTCAGATCCAGCTTTAGCTTTGGCTTTAGCTGGGTCCCCAACTCCGAATGGGTCTGAGTTTCAGTTCCTCTCGGCTTAGTGACATTTCGGCTGTGATAGATGGGCGTGCTGGCTAACGGTTGCGTCAATATTGACTTTACTTCGCCAAAGATGTGGCGAGAGTGAGTCAAATATTTGCCGATCGTGAGGTTCTTGACAATCGTGTGTAGAGGGAAAATCCGCTGAGTACTTCAGGTGTTCTCACTTTTCGGCTCTGAGTCGCACAAGAAATTATGCAAATGCTGCAGAGGGAAAGAAAGACTTTCGCGAGGGACTTGACCGCATTCCTTGCGAGTATCTATTTTGTATCTGTTACGACATCGGAATACTGAGAGCCGAATCTAAATCACTTGTTACCCATTTATCTTCCAGCTTTCAACCACACTGCTCCTGGCCGCCTTGGCACTCAGCCAGGCCCAACAAAACGTCGAGTAAGTAGTCCAGTAACCAATTACCCACAGTCCTAAGACCCCCGATTAACCCTATTGCCTGCCAAATGACCAAATGACTGTGTCAACGCTAATGCTCCATTAAAGTAGAAGTTGATGCGCTCGCCTAGAACTTTGTGACTAAACTTGTGACTAACCTCCCACCCTACCACTCATTCCCCTGCATTAGCCACTAGAAGCCAATCTTCAGAGAGACCCAAACCAACACCAAACAAACAAACCCACTTTCGTTTGCAGAATTCAGAAGCAGCGTCTCGTGAAATTTCCCGAGGAGTTTGAGCCCAATGCGGCGCCTCCGTCCTCCCAGAAGGCGGACGAGGCCAAGCGCATCCTCGAGCAGATAGCCAAGGTCAACGAGGCCTTTGGCTACGTGAAGAAGCAGCCGGAGCAGCCCAAGCTGCCGCCCATCCTCGACTCCAGTCAGTATCTCTTCCCCAAGCCCGCCCATCAGCCCTTCCATGCCCATCAGCACCACTTCTCGGGCAGCAATGGTCAGACCCTCCTGGAACCCTCGATCAGGGCGGTTAAGCTGACGAGGAATGTGGGGGGTAGCTACAATCTGCCGCCCAGATTGCGTCAGTCGGTGGAGAGCTCCTCCTCCAAGGAGACCCAACTGTACTTCCGACCCAACCAGGTGGAGGTGCCCAAACCTGCCTCCCCACAAGAAGCCCAACAACTGCCCGCCCACTTTGTGATCCCAGTGCATCTGCACAAACTGACCAGGGATGAGTACCTCAAGGAGCACGCCTCCCAGGAGTACAAGGTGAAGGGCTACAAGATCATTGGCGATGTGGACAGCTTCTATGGCAAGGCAAAGGCGGGCAGGAAGCAGGGCAAGACGACTCCGAAGTATCATCTGTTCTTCCTGCCCCGCGAACTGGCCCTCAACGAGGATGGAACTCCGAAGAGGGGTAATGCTACCACTGTAGGAACCACTCCAGCTCCTGCTCCTGCATCCTTGAACTTTAAGGAATTCCGCTTGGACTCCCGGGAGAAGCCAGTGCATAAACCACAGAAGATTCAGACCCCAGAATTGATTACCTTGAACGGAGTGACCAGGAAAAGGGTTAGCTCTACAGCAAAGCCAGTGAAACTAAGTGGAAAGGAAGCTGAGCAGCAGAGCTCCTCATCCCTCAACATCAAGACCACCTCTTCTCCTATCTCCCTGAGCTCCACTCTACCTCCTTCCGGTGGCCTACTGCCCAATCGCAATCGCTTGAATCCCTTCCGCATGCCCGGCATGAATATCGCCGAGATGCAGAACCAAACTTCGGTGGCCATCAAGAATGCCTTCCAGAACATATTCAAGCTGCCCTTCCGACCGCCCATGACAGCCTCACCTGGTCTGGAGGCTCCTGTCATCGTGGGCAATGCTCCGGTGAGAAATCAGGGTATCGATTCAGTGGATTACAAGTGGGAGGATGAGAGCGAGGGCGGCGGCGATGGGATGATGTCCGATGATGTGGACACCATTGAGAACACAGCTGCGGAACTGGACACGAGTGCGTCCTCGGAGAAGCACCTGTTCGCCCACAAACACCAGCTGGTGCACACCTTGGGCCAGGTGGCCACCGCCCAGCAGAGCACCCAGAAGCAGGCGCTTCGCGAGGGCGGAATCATCATTCAGCGGCTGAAGGTGCGCAGGGGCGGCATTGCGATCGCCGGTCCGGGGGGCGTGGCAACGGCCGGAAGCGGTGGTACGGCGATCGTGGGTCCCGGTGGCTATGCCCTCACCCATCCACGTAGCCTCACCATCGCTGGTCCGGGGGCCAAGGTCATCTCCATACCGGCAAATGTGGATTTGAAGGACGCCCTGGCACGAACCGATCTGGAGACGAGGAGTTTTCCGCGGGAGGGAAAGATCGTGGCCACGGGACCCACGGTCTACTATGCCCCGCCCACGGGCACAACAACAACGGGGGCGCAGGAGGAGGAGAATCAGGGGGCGGGACTTGTCCAAGTCTGAGGCTTAAACACTTTTAGTTAGGTTCCATAGTTGGTATTGTCTAGTGTTTTAATAAATTCCGTATTGTATTTCGTAAATGTTTGGGCTTTTGCTTTCATCGTGTAAACTGTACATGGTAGTTGTATATTATTAACCCTCACTTATCCCGGCATGAAATTAACCCCGACACAAACTAACCCCTCGATATGTAAATATCTGTAAATATTATCAGACTAACCGGCGGCTCTCTTCACTCCATTTTTCCTATGCTATCCATACCAAAAATCTATCCTAACCCAAGTGCCTACTGGCGCACCACCAACATCGAGGCCTGGCCACCAGGAGCACCTGTTGCCGAGAAGTCCGGGAAGCTGATAGCAGGATCTGCTCCTGCCCAAGGACTCACCGCCTATGGAGCCTATCAGCCTGTACTGATAAATGCTCCCTACTACGCCGCCTACCAACTGCCCTTGGCCTATGTGGTGCAACCCACCACCGCCACCACCGCTGATCAAACCACCGCAGCCGGTGCCACAACCACCACGACGGGCAGACCCGAAAGCTTAGCCGATGACAGCACCCGCGATCGCGAAGAGATCGAGAAACCGGAAAAGCTTCAGGCTCTGCCGGCAGAGAAGACTCGAACCCGAACCACCGGCGATCTGAAGAGCGATCTGGGTCTTCGTTCGGCCGTGAGCAAGATAAATCCTGATTATGTGATCGAGGAGATTGTTTCGGTGCCCGGCAAGCTAGTGATCTCCACCTCTGGATCTCCACGCTCGGCCAAGCAGCAGCTGAAGAAGATTGCGCCGCAGAAGCTGCGTAAACTAGCACCCAAAGTGGAGGCCACCGGGAAGACGAGCACAAGTTCCGCCAACTTCCCCCAGATTCCGTTCGGCAACTACTTCCTGCCCTATCGCCCCGAGCAGGCTCAGGCGATCCAGGGACGCAAGCAGGCGGCCCTCATCCTGGAGCCCCATTCCAAGGCGGTGGTGGGTAATGGTGGCACTGCCATATCCACGCCCATTTCCAAGGCTTACCTGAAGAAGGGAGTGCCCACCAATGTGTACTTCAATCCGGAATCGGTGGCCATTGCGGGTGTGGGCGGCAAGGCCCATGCCACTGCGGATCTGGAACTGGATCTGTTCACGTAGAGAAGCTATAACCTTATTAGAAATCCATTTCTGATTTATTTTAACCAACTGAAGCTAGTAGTTCCTTTCCCCAGCTCCCCCATGTTCCTATGTTAAGAACAGAGGCCCTAAAAAACAAATGTGTCATTTCCTAGTTTGTAAATAAAGTAAAACGTAAACTGTACATCGAGTAGTCCGCTAATCCAATGTAGATATACCAATGCTTTTTCCCCGCTTTCTCCAGGCAATTCCCAAAAACACTTTAAAAAACACACCACCCACACACACCCTCTATAACCGAATCTAACCCCCAAAAAGCAGACACAGATCGAGGGCCGCTCCGCTGGTCTTCGAGGAGCATCCCTACTACGGCGGACTGAGGGGTCAGCTCCTCCAGCTGCGTCCGCAGCGTGACGGCAGCCTGGGCAGCTTCATCCTGCAGCGCCAGCAGCCGCAGCTGAGGGCTGTGCCCAGGGATTCCGATGACACGGTCACCATTTCGGCGGCCAGCATCTCTGCGATTGCCGATGGAGCAAGTGGAGCAAGTAGCTCCAGTTCCAACTCAATCGCAGCCAGTGCCAGTGACTTCAATCGCATCCAGTTGGCCGCCGCCCGGCTGGTGGCCATTCAGGAGCTGGCCAAGCGCAAGGGCTCCTTCAGCGAGGAGGACAACAAGGTCTATGCCAGCAGCCTGCTGGAACTCGGACAGGCTGCCCAAAGCTTGGCCCTGCTCCAGCAGACCGGCCAGATCAAGGACTTCAGTGTCCTGCTGCAGCCGGATATGTTTGGCAATCCCAATCCCCCCAAGCAGCCCTTTGGCCTCGAGGCCACCGGCAATCCGGCGGACCAGAAGATCGACGAACAGAAACTCGACGAGGTCACCGAGCAGCAGTTCTCCCCGGATGAGCAGTTCCTGCCGCCCAACAACGAGGATCCCTACGAGGATGTCAACGACAGTGTTTCGGTGATGGCGCCTAAGAAAGATGCCGCCGTGGCTGAAGCAAAGCCAGTGGGTGAGTTTCTTTAAGAGAAAGTAACTTTCTTCTCTTGATAACCGATAATTTCTATTTTTAGGACTATCCATTGCCGGCGAGGGCGGAGTGGCCTCCTCCAAGCCAAATGCAGTGGCTCTTTCAGGTCGAAATGGCTTGGCTGTCGCCTCTCCGAAGGCCACCGCCATCGCAGGAGTTTCGCCCGAGGAGGCAGCTGCCTTTAGCATCTCCCTGCCCACTCGTAATCAACTGGTGATCAAGAGCCCCAATTTGGCAGCGGAAAAGGCCAGCGATGACTACGATTACAACGATGTGCCCCTGAATCTGGCTCGTTTTCCTCTCACCCGGGAGACCCCCCAGCAACTGGTGCCCGTTCGCATCTCCGGAGGCGACTCCCTGGTGGAGAGATGGCGCACCGCCATCGCCGAGGATTATGCCGCCCGGCAGGCGCAGATCAAGGTGGCCATGGCTCCCCAATCACCCACGCCCTTCATTCGCATGGCCCCCAAGCGACGTCTGCACTCCGAATAGGAAGGATGCCCTTGAAATTGGATTGGAATAGATCGCAATGAGATTCTTAGTATACTTTGTACAACTTTTTGTGTGCCAGCTCCCGAATTGCCAATAAAATATAACTATTTAATCAATGTGCAGTTTTATAACGAACTTATAACGTATGACATTCTACTTTGGGAAAATGTCATTACATGTGTGTTGGAAAAAATAATGGAAAACAATTTTTGTAGCACTAAAACTATTAGGAATTTATATAGCAAAAACAGGATTTTCTCTTCGTTTTTTCGTCGTAATTCTCTTAAAATAGGTGCCACAGCTTAAGGACCGATAGTTTTGTAAAGCGTATGATATAAGCTAACAATCCTCATCGCATTTGGGCAGATTTAACAAAATAAAAATTTGGGCCAATTTTTGAATTTTTGATAAGGGGTTACATCACAATTTTTTGCAAAAAATCTTCAAAAATTAAAGATTCTAAATTTGAATGCCATTCGATTGGAAATTTTATTACAAACTCAACGAGGTATGGCATTCTATATTTGAACACTTTTTTAACTTGTTTTGACCAAAAAACTGAGGATTTTTGATGAAAATGAGGATTTAAGAATCTTAATTTAAGATATAATGGATTTCTTGTGAGTTTTTTGTAGTCGTGTCTCACTTGAAAAGACAGTTTTAATCCTGATTGTATGATAAACTAATAATCCACGAAACTTTCCGGTAATCATATGTATTTGAGTGTGCTAAATTTCAAGCTTGGATATCTCAAAAATTTTAGAGAATAAATAATGTGTAACCAGTCTTAAAGTCTGTTTTTTTTTCAAGAAAGCCTTACAATTAAGTTTTCCTAATTGTTCAGTCCTTGGAAGAAACATGGCTACATTGCCGACCCACCCGAGGGGCCAATGAACTAGATATATACCACAAAGACCACAAATAGCCAACCAATATCAGATAAAGGCTGTGACAGAGAGCCAAGGCGACGCATCTAATTGCTGCGGGAAGTGATTACAGTTTATAACGAAAATAAATTTATTTATGCGACTGAGCAGGGGGAAAATCTCAGGCGGGCCGAATGCAAGCATGTGCAAATCTTGATTAATCTTTTCCGCCAGGGCAGGCAACATGGAAATAAATTATCTAAGCGGGCAGCGAACGGAGGGAACTGGATGGGTCGTCCGCAGAGAACGCATTCAATTTGCACCTGAACCAGTTGGCTGGTTCTATCCACTAGGCGAGTGAGTACCTTTTGCCCGCCCGTCAATGCGGCTTCAATGCGATCGCCCATGCCATGCTTGACTTCTATTACGCGGCAGGTTTAGCCAGCCCGAGACCATCTACGTTGACCATCTGCCATCTGCAAGCGAACCTGAAACCAGAAAGTATTCTTTTCCAGCTTTGTTGGCTTTTCAGGCTCCTTTTGGCCATCGGCGACCCGTTCTTCCCCTTCGGTTCTGTATTTTCCTGCGGGAAGCTGCACATTTCCAGTTCTATCAGTATCACTTCTTCGGCTCTTTGTTCTTGGGATAGGTCGTGGCGAGGGGTCTGTGGCCGCACATTATAAAAGGCCATGGCCGGGCAGCGTTGGCCACCAGTTTCCTTGAAGTGGTCGCCGTGTTAGCACTCAGCACTCACCACTGAGCCCTGCAGCCCTGCCATTGTGTTCAGACCGACTAGTGATAACTTAGATTCTTCTCGAGCGGATTGCGGATCGTGTGGCCACCAGAGAACTCTACCAACTACCTGCCTAGATTTGGGAAAGCAGTGAAAGGCCAAGCACTAAAAGGTAAGTCTGCCCCTCCAATTGGGGTTATTCGAATCACATTTACGCTCGTCTCGGGGTCGAGAAAGTTATGCCTAGGCTTAGTTCTGATGCTTGGCTTAATTCGAGCTGGTTTGGCCAAGCTCTTAAATTCCTTTTATGGGGTCACAAAAGAACCACTTCATCAAGCCACTGAGGAAGACGATTAGATAAGCCATTAAATGCCCGTAAGAAAGTAAAATCATCCGGAATCAAGAGCTGAAATCAAATTAAGAATTATCATATAAAAAGAGTTTTCCAAAAAATTGCACAATTAAACTAAGTGTAATACATTAAAAAAGTCTACTAAAAAACGCATTTTAATTTTACTCAATAGAAAATGAATACATTTATTTTGTGTGTGTTGGGATCGCATTATTACCTAAGCTTCAAAAAAAAAACTTTATCAGAATCTTTGAATCTAGCTATTTTAGTAATAAAGCACATATATTTAGGTATTGTAACTAAATTATTCATTTAGTTAGCTATTAGTAAGAATATAAATTAGCTATGCGGAAATGAAATATTTCGTAAAAAAATTATTTAAGGCTCTACAGTAAAATAAGTTTTACAAATAGAAAAAAAAGTCTTTGAAACAATTTTATAGTAATTTTAATGTTATAAGATCTTAAACCTTATTATTATTACTTTTATACTAGGCTGTGAATCTAACAAAATTTTAAAACAAATATTAGATAATCTCTTAACTAAATTTAAAATTACCATCTCCAAGTCCAAAGAATATTTTCCTTACCCACAAACAAAAGACTTACGCAACGAACTTGGCAAGTACCAGGACCACACAAAGAACATTCTTCGAGGGGTGGGGAACGACAAACTTGACTATCAAGTACCGATTTAAGCCATAAAGCTGCTCCCAGTCATTAGCTAGTATCTACACTAGAAGTGCTTGGCGAAGAAGTTCCATTGGCCTGGCCAATCGATTGCAAACCGGTTGATAGTCCCTCGATCCATGTACGTACGAGGAGCATCCTGTCCGACCAGGCAACATGCAATTACACACGGACACACACTGCCGCGCAGAATAACGTTAAATTTAGAATGGACTTTGGTGCGCTGGCAGGAGAGTGGCTAAAAATAAACCATGGGCTAGACCCGTTTGCAGCAGAATACATATCTTACGGTCGATTGTCTTCAACCCTCAGTCGATGATCGAACATTAAGTAACCTACAACTATCTTATTAAAGCTATCTTAAGGTATTGATGGTTGAAAACTTACTTCCACGATAGCTATTTTTAGGTACCCATAAAAACAAGTCATATTTTTTTAACCAAACATTTAAAGTAAATCATCGTTTGTTAAGCTTTGGGAAATGGATAGATAAAAATAAATTTATGGTTTTTTTTTAAATATAGTGTGTATATAATTTAAGAATTATTTATTTAATATTGTTTGTTTATAAAATAGATCATCATTTAAAGATACAAATATTGACTTTAGACTAAGACTTAGCTGAATTAAATATTTCTTAACTAAGAAGAGGACTTTAAAAGTCGTTCTTACAATAGTTAAAAAACTAAACATATTTGAGATATTTTTAAGAGATCTTGAACCCTCTAGATCTTTCAGAATGTTCCTCCTCGCGGTCTTTTTAGACTTAGATTTAGCTGAATTATTTATTTTTGAACTAACAAGAGGACTTTAAAAATCTTTCTTATAATAGTTAAATTATAAAATATATTGTAGATATTTTTAAGAGATCTTGAACCCTTCCGATCTTTCAGAATGTTCCTTCTCGCGGCCCTTTGCCTGGCCCTGACGGCGATGGGCGGTCAGGCCAGGCCCCTGGAGCCCACGGCCCAGCATATCGTGATCGTGACCCCGCAGGCGCAGGTTCACCTGGAGCCAGCCCTCCGCTATGTCCATGGACTGTCGCCCCTGGCCCGCGTGGCCTCGCCGCACCACCATGAGGAGACGATTGTGTATGTTCCGGCCGGAACTGCTGCCCAGGTGGTGCCGGTGGTGGACACCGTGGGATCTGGCCGTGCTGGCGGTGCGGCGGAGACCAAGCAGTGGGAGAACACGGGCGAGATTGCCAACCAAATCCAGCAGGTTTCCCAGCAGGGCGTCGAGATCGTGAGCGGCCAGTTGAGCGAGGCGGCAGCCTCCGCAGCCTCCGCCGGAGCGGGCTTCTTCCCCTCGCTGTTCCCGCCCAGCGGATCCAAGAAGGAGGAGAAGATTGAGCTGATCGAAACGCCGGCCAACACACAGCCACTGATTGCCACCGAGGCCAGGCACTTCTACAGCATTCCCCAGGTGTATCACACCCCCGTGGTGGATGTGGTCCATGGTCCCGTCTACACCTGGCCCATTTCCGCCATCCGGGCACGCAGCATCCAGCAGGAACCGGAAGCGGAGCTGACCCCCTCCGAAACCCTGAAGGCTGAGCCACAGGCGGAGATCCAGCCGGAACCGCAGGCCCTGTTGAAGGAGCAGCCCCTGCTGAAGGAGCAGCCACAGCCACTGCTCAAGGAACAGCCCTTGGAGCAGGCGGTGCAGGCGGAGCAGAAGCCCATCATTCCCGAGGCCAGCGAGCAGAAGTCCGAGTTTGCCGGACGCCTCCTGGAGAGCAATGCCATCAAGCAGGAACTGAAGGGAGCCGAGATTGCCAAGGAGCAGCTGAAGGAAGACCGTGAGTTTTGTTTGTTGAGGTAATTGAATTTTAAATGATATTTCGACCCTGCAGCAACCAAGCTTCAGCAGGAGGAGCTGATCAAGACCATCCAGGCTGAGCCGCTGACCAAAACCATACCGGCTGAGCCGCTCATCAAGACCCTGATTCCCGCCGAGGCCATTCAGGCCGCGGAGCAGCCGAAGCAGCAGGAAATCCAGCAGATCATTCCGGCGCAGCCCGCCGAGATCATCGCCGATGCCATTGTGCCGCAGGCCTAGAGCCCCGGTCATCAACTCATCTGAATCTCACTCATCATCCCTTGGGCAGCTTTGGTTCTTCGACTGATTCTCATTGCTGGCCCGTCGCCCAGCAAAAGGTGACCGGGCCACGGGGTCTACCCACATCCACATCCAACGTCAACCATCAGCAACATCGTACATTTAATTACTAACACAGAACACACGCATCCGCACACATTTTCCATTTTCCAGACATTAATTAACAGGAGCGCAACGAGAAAGAGACATTCATTCATAATTATCATCACGAAACGTTCGTATTCATCATCATCATTACATATTCATTAACCATAACATTGAAAACGTAAAACAGAACAATAAAAAAGTGAATGTAAAATGTAGAAAGGAGGGAGCGGAAATTCTAGATGGATTGGGGTATGTGGGAACTTTTTTACGAGTATGGAAAAAAGTCTGATGAGAGACAGGTTGTTGACTAAAGATTAAAAATCTATATAATATTATACCTAATGTTTTATTGTGGAATTTTAAGACCCCATTACATAATGACAATGACCCTCAAATAGTTTGACTTCTTGCGCAGTCCGGCAAAATTCCCAGGCAACATAAAAATATTGCAACTATTACACGGTCGGGTAAATAAAATCATAAATCGCCCGATTCACGGCGCTGCATACAAAGTAACCCCGAAACGTGCTCCGATATTTGCGAATGAGGGTGAAATATAGGTAAAAACTATATTGAGTACGGCACTTTTATTCGCTTACATAGCTAGGGGAATAAATATGTAATAAATAGAGCGATGACTAAACCGCCTCATCTCCCACTGTAATATAGGCATCCTGTTCTCCCACGACTATCAGTTCTTCTTCTTCGTTCTCCGATTTTAGAGTAGTTACATCCGTAGAACCCTCCGTCGATTGGGTGGTAAGTTCAATCCTCTGCAGGGGCTTGCTGGTATCCGTATAGCGGTAGACCGAAAAATACGTTTGAATGCGTTGTATGAGATTCTCCAAAATGGGTGGAAACTTGTGCTCCACTCCATCGCCATACATCTTGAAGTCGAATCGCGTTTCGCCACCATTCTCGGAAATCTTTGAGGGATTGATCTTGAGTGCTTGAAGAATTCCTCGCAGCATTAGGAGATTCTGCAGGTTGCTGCCACTCTGATTGGGAGCCCTTCGTAGGATCAGTGAACCATTGGGCTTAAACTCGAGATAACCGAATTTCTCCGTATCCATGGGAAGGGCCTGGTTTTTGACCATCGTCAGCGGGAGAACGGCCGCCTGAAGGGCAGTGGAGATCAGGCCCAGTCCCAGCGTCATATAGATCGTCTGCATCTCGAATGTTAGATTATGGATGGTAAATGGTGGATAATTCCAGGCGATCCGCTCTGGCCCTGGCCTCTGGTTGCACTAATTTCGGCTTCGCCTTGGCCAACGAACTTATTCCAACTGCTGCGCTTTTTCTCCACATTTCACACACTTTTTTTGTACACATTTTGAGTGTAATTGAGCACTGTTTGTATTTACCTTTGTTCGGTTCGGTTTGGCTAGGCGCTTGGCCTGGCTTGTCTTGACTTAACTTGACTTGGCTTATGGCCAATAAGCCCAATCCCAACTCTGAGACGTGCCCTGAGCACTCGCTGCGCTTTGGTTTTGAGTTGTTTCAGCTGTTTGAGTTACTTATTTGCATTTATTTGTCAATTTTCTGTTATATTATTCTTCGACTGGCCCCGAAAACGATGTGTATTGCCAATATCGACTGGGTTATAGTGCAGTGAAAGTGTTATATTCCCTAAAACGAGATGAGAAGGCTTCACACCCACTGACTATATACTGTTTAAAAAAACAACTCTTAACGTGGTAAAAAGATAGTGACTACCGCACAAACACAAAGTACTGATATCAACAAAAAGAAAATATTATCAAACATATTTGTAACAAATGTTAATGTCAGAAATTATGGTCACTAGTTTTTTAGACCGTTAAAAAACATATTTATTTTAAAATTTTTTAAATATTTTGCATATCCATAAAAACGTAGCTTGCTTTTATTTTCCTTTGTAAAGTTCAGCTTACCTGTTGTGAGGAGACCAAAGCCACTGTTAAGATAATGTTAAACTAAGCTCAAAAAGTTGTATTCATCTTTATCGACCAGTCTGGCAACATTATGGCCACTCTTGGTCAAATAAACGTTAGGAAGACTTTTAAACTCACTTTGAGATCTGTAACCATCTTTATTGTGATATTGGTGGTACTTAACCATAGCAGTTTCCCTAATTTTCTTAGATCTACCCTCTTTCCCAAAACATTTCATTAAAACAAAGACCAAATCGTTGATAATTTATTAATTTATTTAGATTGAATTTCATTAAATAGTTAAGGACATTGATATAATGTTGTGTCGCAATTATCATTATTATTTGTGTAGTTGTGTGTGTGTGTATTTAGTGCTTCAAGTAAGCGGAGTCTCTAACAAACGTAGAAGGACGAAATATCGAAAAATAATATAAACTAAACAATTAAATTGCTAGGACTTGTGTCTGTGTGCGTGTGTGTTGTTGCTGTTTAATAAACATACAATACATATCAAACATAAATCGAGTGTGGTTTTTAATACAATAGAACTGTTTAGAACTGAAACCCGCGGTTAGGAAACTCACATCGCATTCGGCTTGCTCGTCGCTTGGTTAAAACTTAAAATAAATAAATAAACATACATTTTTCAATGTGGCAACAATAGTTACAATTGGTTCAGTAATTCATATAGATTTTTTTGGGTTTTTCCTTTTTTTTCTGTTTGTTTAGTGATTTTGATTTCGATCTGAAATGCAATTACAAATAATAAGTTTCTATACAATCTGATGTGCTGCTCTACTCGTGCGAAGATAAAGCAAAGTTATCATAGATTTTAGCTAACTCTATCGACTTGAAGTTTTACAAAATTTGATTTGCTTTTGATTTAGTAGGACTCATTATCTCATCATCTTCAGCTAATTTCTCTCATATCTAATGTAAGTGTAAGGCATTACCTTCTCTTGTATATCGTTTTAATACATGTGTATATACTCCTCCTCATAGTTATTCTCTTCACTTGTATCCCTCTGATTTGATCCATAATTTCGTTGAATTTGTTTATGGCTAATTTAAGCTTGCTGCTCCCACTCCACTCCTCCTCCTCCTGACTCGTTGCAGATGGCTTACATCAGCTTCTGCTTGGCACAATCGGGGCACAGAATGTCGGGTCCGTCGGTGATGAAGCCACGACCCACCAAACTGGCCTTGCAGCTGGCGCACACGAAGCAGTCGTGGTGCCAGTGGCGATCCTCAAACGAGATGAAGCGTGTGCCGCCAATTCCTGGTGATCAGCAAAGGGATTAAAATCAGATCGGGTGGCCGCAAATATCAAACTCACCTGTTATGGGCTTGACACAGGCCGTGCAACGTTTGGCAAACAGCTCGCCAAAGCACTCGGCACAATAGGGCTTCTCGTCGCGGCTGGTGAATCGCTGGCCAGCTAGCGTGATGTTGCAATGGGTGCACGTGAAGCACTCGCGATGCCACGGCTCGTTCTTGTAGGTAACACCTCCCGAGGTGATGACCTAAAATAATACGAAGATAGGATATGATTAGATGAGATAATACAAAACAGAACTGCCATAAATAAATGTAAACTATATATAGTACAATAATGTGACTAGTGCCACAAATATAAGTGTAAACTTGCTGTGCTAGGATAATAATAATAATAATAAATAATAATATTTTCTTGTTCTTAAAATTAATACGGTAATCTACACATAAATAAATCAATTATAACACATTTAGTTTATCCAGAAAGTTCTCAAAAATATTTAAAAAATATTTAAACAGTATTTCATTTCATGTATTTTTTTCTAAGTTATAAAAACTGTAAAATCATATTATTTGACAAATTTTCTTACCTTGTTGCACTTAATGCAGCGCGTGGCAAACTTCTCCTCGTAGCAGCCGGCGCAGTAGATCTCCTGCTCCCGCGGGATGAAGGACTTGGTCCCGATGGCCGTCTTGCAGACGCAGCAGCAGAAGCAGTTCTCGTGCCACTGCCGGGTTTTGTACTCCATCTTCTTGGTACCTGGAAGGAGGCGAAGAGCGGAAGGGGAAAAGTCAATTTAGGTCGAAATCAATTTCCGCCTTCGCCGAGGCCGTGAACCTTGAACTTTGTCAACCCACTAACCCAGCTCCGGATCCTATCAGTTCCATCTGGGAAAAAACTCAATTTCAGACAGCGACAGATTGAGGGCAGAGTCAATCAGTGGATGGAAGACAATCCGTTTTCAATATAGAAACAAAAGCTTTTCTCCGTAATGTCGGCCAGACATGCAACTTTTCCCTATAGCGGGGGTGCCTGTCACGCCCCACTCGAATTTCTTGGTGGCTTCAACATTTTCATAATAATTAATGCCAAAATTACGCAAATTTTTGGCTAGTCCTGAGACAAAAGCTATTCACCGCATGATTTAGGGCTATATCACTATTACTAGTCCATTTAAAGCCCTAAGGACTTTGCTCTCTTCTTGATGACTTTGCTTGCTTTTATTTATTGCGTGCTTGAAATGTTTGTGGCCAAAAATAAGCAGACAAAAAAGAGTTGAGGCAAAATTTCCCCGCTGCGGGAAAAAAGGCCTGCTAGAACGGGTAATTGAGTGGAAATGTTGGCTCTGTCGTCTGCAAATTATTCTTTAATTCGCGGTTGCCAACCAAGACAATTGAGGAAAGTTAAGCCAGTCTCGGGAAAATTTGTTCTGAGAGTTGTGCTAAATTGTGTAAGGAAATTTCCATAAAATGTGACATTCAATTTCACCAGACTTTAATTAGAAGGAACTTTGTTTGGAATGTTCAACGTTGTCAGCAGAAGACCTAAATATTTTAAATGATTATTAAGATAATTGTAGAATAGTAAAAATTTGAAATACCTTTTTTTATAGAGATTAAAATATGATTCAAATTTTAATTAACTAAAAAATTAGTCGTTATAAACATATTTTAACAAATTTTGGGCAATAAAGTACTTTGTAAGTCAAAACATATGCCTTATGATTTTCTGTTTTATTATTAAAATTTTATAGGTTGTCTTTCTTTATTAAAAATCCCAGTTAATAGACCCTAGATTTATCATGGGCTAGATTAGTTGTCTGGCTTGTTTGAAAGACCCCCTTAAATGGTATTCATTACTCATCATCATCCATCGACGGCGATGACGCTATGGATCTCGACACAAGCCAGTGGGCGGTTCCTTTCTTCTGGCCAATTTGAATAGTTTTCGGACAATAATAATGATAAATTATGATGTCTCATCCGCCGTTAATTAACATAAGATCAATTTATGAACGTGTGGACCGCTTGGCTATTTTGCTGGGTGTTACCTGCTTTGCTGGCACGCGGATCGCCGAGGCGACAATAATCGCCCAGTTGGCAATAGAAGTTGCGGTTCTCCTCCACGGCGGAGGCGTTCGGCAGGAACATGCTGAGCACGGCAATGTCCTCGTTGTTGTCCTTGGCCTTCTTGATTCGCTCCGCGCCAATGGTCTTGGTTTGCAGGTGGAGTCGAGACTTCATTCTCGAGCTTAGCACATCCACGTCGGTCATGATCGAGGGCTACTTGTGTATACTCTTCGGGTTAGTTCACGAATGGAAAGTGTACCCAGGGTAATGACTTCTGTTTTGACCTATTTCTTTGATACTTTCCTAATAAGTCACGAGAAATGCAATTTCATTGATGCCATCGCTTAAAGTGGGTCAGTTCGAGATCGAAGACCAGCTATAAAACTCATTTAAGATATTCCACACCAACCGGCGAACGCTATCTTAAAACGATCTCGGGACTTGGGCAGAAAACAAATTTGGCGACGCCTAGTCTCTCTCTTTTTCACCCATAGATCTGCTATGATCTCAAGGCGTTGCCTCCATGACATCATTTGCCAAATAACAAGTTTCATTAAACTTAGCGAATGCTTATAAATAAAGTCTCAAGCCAAATTGGTTATAATGGAAATGAAACAACAACGGGGCTATCATAAATCATTAAATAATTAACTTTTTGTAAATACAACAAAAGCAAAAATTTGTTAAATTTCATACACAATATACTTTTTTTTTTGGTCGGAGCTTGTGCGCAAATTGAAGCAGGAAATTGTCCAAGCTAGAAGCGCACAGGAAGCCCAGATTGGTGGAGAATAGATTAGAGTGGAATTATAACCATAGAAACCCACACAATTGGGAAGATGTAGATAGATAGCTGAGGAATGTCGGAGAAATCAGCATTGGTAAACAATTGGAGTATTCGAATTCGGTTGATG